AAGCGGGCTGACTGTATTGGGTATTTTAAGTCCAATAGAAACTTTTATTTTTTACTAACAGGGGATTTCCACCCCATGAAATAAGCACTGTTTTCTTCATGTCGTGGAAATGCCCTGTTATTGAAATAAAGGCCTTTCCTGGGCTTAAGATATCCAAGGGAGGACTAAAATGATGGCAAGAACGCCCCTACGTTCCCTAAAAAGGCTTTTGGGGAAACTAGTTCTGAAGGTCTCATATGGCCCACTAGCCTTCCATTGCTACCCTGTCATGTTCTATTTGTTTTATAGGTCTGATCTACATTACAGAAATAATGCAGTTTGACACCACTTTAAGTGCCATGGCTCAATGCTATGGAATTCTGGGGTTTGTAGGGTTTTGGAGTTTTTTTTTGGAGATATTTAGCCTTCTCTATCAGAGAACTCTGGTGCCACAACAAATGACAAATTCCAGAAGTCCATAGGATGGAGCCATTGCAGTAAGAGCAATGTCAAGCTGCATTAATTAACTTCATAAAAATATATAATAAATTACTATTTTACCAGTGGTAGTAAGCCTTACAAGAGCCAGTGGCTTCAGCATTGGATTAGGACTCTGGAGACCAGGGTTCGAATCCTGATTTGGCCATGGACACCCACAGGGTGACCATGGACACATCACACTCTCTCAGCCTCAAAGGATGGCAATGGCAAACTCCCTCTGAAGAAACTTGCCAAGAAAACCCCATGATAGGTTTGCCCTAGGGTCGCCATAAGTTGGAAATGACAAAGGCACACAACAGCAAAGTAATCCTTCTGATTTTAAATATTCATTTTTAAAAATATATAGGGTGCTTTCCTTAAATAAATGTGAATAATTCCATGGAATGATTTTATGTCTTATATGCTGGAATCCCAGAGTCCAATGCCAAACTAATAGGAAATGTACCCAGTCAAGTATTGGGCCAATTCTCCAATGTCAACACCAGGATGGGTTTATGGAGCATGTCACAACATATAAAGGAACACAAAGAAATAATAAGGTTTCAATTGTCAGTATTTCAGACAGTCAGTTGACCAGTTATGCTTGTGCTAGTTCACAACTTCCAGGGAATCAGAGGTATACTGTGCCTAATCACAGAGGTTCCACTGTTAGCTCCTGGACTAGTAATCGCCAGAAGCCATTTCCCCATGAATTTTTCTGTACCATGTATAAAAGACATGTAAGCTAACCATGATTAGTCTCAGCAGCAGCAATGCCTACCTTGTATTTGCCAGGTATGGAGCTGAAACTCAAAATAAAGTTTTGGGGAAACAAAACAAAACATCCACACCCACACTCACAATAAAAAATAATGCATTTTCCAGGGACCTTGCTACATTGCTAAGTCCAGCTGTGCAAATTTCAGTCTGATAACTCCATGAAAAGCATGCAACAAATATGACTATGGAAGAAGAACTCCAATTCTCATAACAGAATGAATGACCATTCCAAGATATAAATGAAAGAAAAAAAATTATAATAAAAGAAAGAAAGAAAGAAAGAAAGAAAGGCCAGAAAATGGAATTTTTGAGCCACTTTTCATTTTTCTTGAAATCTGGTTTTAAATTAAATCAGCTTATAAAGTATTTTCGGAAAGATCAGACCGTAAATCTACGCCTTCTCTCTTCGTCTTTCTTTCTCTCTGAGACTAGAGGAATTAATTGCTTTTGCCTATTGTTCATATGACACTTGAATGAAACCTCTGGATCTGTTCATTAAAATGAAAAGTAGCTCTTTCAGAATAGACAGGCCATGGCTGTTAAATCTGGAATTATGTCTGCGGCAATAAGAGGAGGGATGGAGGCACAATCTAATGGGATTTCCCCCCCCCCCCCGTCTCTCCATGCAATGGGATTACAGGAAAAAAAGGTCGGTTGTTCTACCTTCGCACGCTAATTCAGGCAGAGAATTGCACTCGTCTCTGCTAGTTCCAGCCACCAAGGTCTAGTCAAGGGTTAGCCAGAACAGGAGGAAGAAGAGCAAGAGAGAAACATTATATAAAGGATTCAGAAGGCAGAAAGGACCAAGAAAAGCTTTGCATAGAAAAGGACAAGCAAAAGATAGATAGGCCAAATCTGGCTGTATTGTATTGTATTTTATTTGTGAATTTGATTTTAATTCTACGATAGTTTAATCCTGTTTTAAGGGGTGGGAGGATGGAATGCTTTTACCTGTTGTATTTTTAATTTGTTGTACGCTGTCCCGATTGCCGAGCAGAGGGGCGGTTATAAATAAAACATTATTATTATTATTATTATTATTATTATTATTATTATTATTATTATTATTAAAACCTTTCACACAACCGAAAAGAGACAGGCGAGGGGAAAATGGAGAGACCCAAAGGGATCAACTCTTTCATTTCTGTTCCCCACAACAGAATATATGCCATGATCTCCACATTTAAGAGTCATGTACAGAATTCAGCTTCCCAAGAGTCTCCACTTGTATTAGAAACAAAGCACAAGTTTCTGGACCTTGTGGGTTGCGTCCGCACTGCAGGAATAATCCAGTTTGACACCACTTCAATTGCCATGGCTCCATGCTATGGAATTCTGGGGATTTTAGTTTGCTATGACCTCCACACGTAAGTGTCATGTACAGAATTCAGCTTCCCAAGAGTCTCCACTTGTATTAGAAACAAAACACAGGTTTCTAGACCTCGTGGGCTGCATCTGCACTGTAGGGATAATCTAGTTTGACCCCACTTTAACTGCCATGGCTCCATGCTTAGTTTGTTGTGGCACCAGAGCTCTCTGACAGAGAAAGCTAAATGGCTCACAAAACTACAATTCCCAGGATTCTATAGCACGGAGCCATGCATTTAAAGCGGAGTCAAACTGGATTATTTCTGCAGTGTGGATGCAGCCATGGGTGCAAAGTTATATTTGACAGAGTTGTATTTGGTGCTTTGATTGTGTAATTCCTGCATGGCAGGGGGTTGGACCTAATGGCCCTTGAAGTCTCTTCCAACTCTATATTCTATCATAATATGAGGAAATCTCAGAGCCCTGCCACTCTACCTATTTACAACACTATCTTTCCACTTTAACTGCCATGACAACATCCAACGGAATCCTGGACTTTGTAGTTTGAGGAGGAACTAGAGCTCTCTGGCTGAGATTCTTTGAAATATCTGCAAATCCCAGGATTCCATAGAATGCAGGTATTGCAATTAAAGCAGAATCATCGTGCTGCAGTTGTGCAGGGTGAAAGAGCCCTCAAAACAATAATTGTAGATTGAATGAGACTCCTAGGGGTAAGGTAGGGTCCTCAAGGTCCCATTGGCCCTATTGACTGGCAGAACCAAAATAAATTAGCCAAAGCAATGCTTCATTTTTGTAGTTAATACAGATACAAGAAATTAGCATCACTAAATGCAGAATTTAAATGTATATGGAATATTTTGAAGCACAGGGTAAAAACAGACTTATCCTTTCTCAGAGGATTCAATACACTCACAAAACAGGGCAAAGTTAGAATCATAGAGTTGGAAGAGACTCCAAGGGCTATCCAGTCCAATCCACGTCTGCCATGCAGGAATACACAATCCAAGCACTCCCAACAAATGGCCATCCAGCTTCTGTTCAAAAACCTCCAAAGGAGGAGGCTCCACTGCACTCCGAGGCAAACAGCTCTTACTGTCAGAAAGTTCTTCCTAATCTTTAGGTGGAATTCCTTTTCCTGTAGTTTGCATCCATTGCTCCATGTCCTATTCACTGGAGCAGCAGAAAACAAACCTTGCCCTATGAGGAGTGACTTGGGGAACTGGGTTTGTTTAGCACAGAGAGGAGGAGAAGAGGTGATGTAGTAGCCCTGTTTAAATTTTTGAAGGGATGTCACACTGAAAATGGAGCAAATTTGTTTTCTGCAGCTCCAGAGAGTAGGACCTGGATCAATGGGTTCAATCTACAGGAAAAGAGATTCCAGCTCAACATTAGCAAGACCTTCCTGACAGTAAGAACTGTTTGACAGTGGAATATGCTGCCTTGGAGTGTATTGGAGTCTCCTTCTTTGGAGGTTTTTAAACAGAGGCTGGATGGCAATCTTTCACAAGGAATGTTTTGATTGTGTATTCCTTCATGACAGAATGGACTGGATGAGGTCTCTT